ATGCCAGGGGGGGTCGGGCACCCGGCGGGGGGATGCCGGGGGGGGTCGGGCACCCGGCGGGGGGATGCCAGGGGGGGTCGGGCACCCGGCGGGGGGATGCCGGGGGGGGTCGGGCACCCGGCGGGGGGATGCCAGGGGGGGTTTGCTTGTCTCTCTCTGTAGCCTGTCGTTTTAAGATCCCACATGAATGACACCCTTGTGCTTCAGGTGGTGACCGCTGACCATGCACAGCTGATGGTCCCCTTGGTCCTTGAGAAGAACCTGTGGTCTCCGGTCCCGGGGGAAGATACCATCATGAATGTGCCTGGCTTCTGGCTGGTCCGCCGGGAGAACCTGGAGTACTTCCCCCGGGGTAGCAGCTATTGGGACCGCTGTGTCGTCGGGGGCTACCTGTCCCCTAAGGCCGTGCTGGAGACGTTCGAGAAGCTGGTGGCAGGCTCCATCAACTGGCCGGCCATCGGCAGCGTGCTGGACTACGTCATCCGGCCGGTGGTGCCCACGGAGACGCTGAGCCTCGAGGTGCAGTACGAGACCGACCGTCGGCTCTATGTGGACTTCCTGCCCTTGCTTGCCATGGAGGACGGCGTCTCGCTCATCGCCAAGCCGCACCGCTGGGTCGAGCGCCACGAGAACCTGTGGCGGCAGAGCTTCCGGGCGGCGGAGACGGCCAAGCTGCGTGCCCTCGACCAGGAGGATGCCGGCTGCCGCTGCCTGTGCCTCAAGGTGGCCAAGGCTGTGTGCCGGCTGAACCCGGCCCTGTGCCGCCTCTCGTCTAGCCAGCTGACCAACGCGCTACTGCTGCTCAGCGAGGCTGACGGCGACTGGACTCAGGATGCGCTGGCCGACCGCTTCCTGGAGCTGCTGCGCGCATTAGTGGGACACCTAGAGGCTGGGAGGCTACCCTGTGCCCTCAATCCCAAGGTCAACCTCTTCTGCGAGCTGACTCCTGAGGAGGTGGACGAGTTGGGCTACACGCTCTACTGCGCTTTGTCCAGCCCCGAGGCCCTGCTGAGGACCACTTAAGATGGGGCCGCCGTGAGCCAGCAACAAGCCGACTGCCGTTTCCTGCGTACGGCCTTGTGACGGCCACCTCCCTGTGGCCTCACACCCTGACCCAACAGCGCCGTGTGGTAATGCGTCTCACTCTTCGGTTTCCTTTGCTCTCAGTCCCTTGACTCTTTTGTTAGTCTTCCGTTGGCAAGATGAAGATCCTCTCTCAGCCCCTCTGCCGAGTCGTGTGATTGGCTGCTCCGCTGGGATTACACACCCAACCAATAAAATCAAAAATATGAATGATTTTCACTTTATTCTGTTTGGATTTTCCTCCTTTATGCCTAGGATCCTTTTCTCCATCCTCCTCCTGCAACAAGGAGATAGGATGATGTTTCACTCGTGAACTAGCAGGACTTTAAGACTCAGGGCGTCGTGTTCTGAAGGCCCCCATTGCAGAGGGGAGGTCAGGAGAGTAAAGCCATGTATCCACAATCCGTCACCTGGGCCCCCTTGCAGAGCCAGGTCAGACATGCACAGAAATGACATGTCTGGGCGTGTCTGTGCCCTGCGAGTTTGCGTCTTCGATTTCCTAGGTTTCCACACGATCACCGACCCGTGTTGCAAAACAGTGGCTGTGTTTGTTTTCAGTATGTGCCGATAACAGTGTTTCCCTCTGCTGTTTGAGTCTCGCTGGGTGTCACGTTCCCGTATATCTTGACAACGCGTTGCTGATGAAGCTTGACAACTGGACAAAAGAAACCGCAAAGCTGATAGAGGTGTGAGTAGAGGTGTGAGTAGAGGTGTGAGTAGAGGTGTGAGTAGAGGGACGATCGTTTTACCTGAGGCTGGCTACGGTGTGTTTTTTTTCTTTTCTTTTTTTGTTTGAACAGAATCAGAATTTATTTTAAAACCAAATAGACCATGGAGATTTGAGTGAGAATCATCTCTTTGGTGGGGTGGGTGTTTCAGGAAGAAACAAGGTGTTTGCGTGTGTGTGTGTGTGTGCGTGTGTGTGTGTGTGTGTGCGCGCGTGTGTGTGCGCGCGTGTGTGTGCGCGCGTGTGTGTGCGCGCGTGTGTGTGTGAGTGCGTGTGTGTGTGTGTGCGCGTGCATGACTCTAATGAAGGGAGATAAGGAGACGGAGGATGTTTGTGGTCAGCGGTGAGATTCTGCACTTGATTAACGGAGATTCGGCCCGGCCCGCTGTGCTTGCTGTAAGACCTTCATCATCTTCCTCTTTGCACGCTGGCCTCTTGTTTTCTGAACCTCTGTTGACCACTGTGTCTCATCCTTTCACTAAAGCAGTATGAGAGCTTTTTATTTACTTTTTATGGTGACTTTTCTGGCAAGTGATGAAATTTAATAAAGAAGTGTACAATATATCTGTAGACTCTACTATTTTTCTATTTATTGTATGGATGTAGCCAGTATGTCACTAACGCTACCATGTGGAACTGCGTCACGGGGAAATTTGCACAAACGTGGACATGTTGAGAACTTGTGTCCTATGCAGACTTTCTGCTTTTGACTCATTCTGATGTGTTTTTGGCAGAGCTCAGGCCCCTCTAGGTCACGTGACCCTCTGCATGCCTTTTATCTGAAGCCTCTTACTGAAGCCCCAATTCGTTAATGTCGGTCAGAACAGCTCTTTGGGTTGCCGATCTGTAGAGGGCGGTGGCTTCTGTTTGTCCAGCTAGGACTCTGGTAGTTTTGATGACTGCATGAGACGTGTGTTTTGGTTAAATGGTCACATCCTACTAGCTTCCAGGAAGCCCCAGAGCAGAGATAAGGGTCACATGCCAGACTTGCACCAGCCCTTAAATCTTAGCCTTGTTTTTGTCCTCTAACCTGAAAATAAAGGTGCTCTTATGCTGTAGTTTTAAATAATATGTATATATTTTTTGCCAAAAACCTGGTCAGCCCACAGATGCTTGCAGTATGGTTAAACAATAACTGTGTTTCTTCATCTGGTTTTTGGTAACTATACAACAGTCTGTTTTGTTCCATGAATGGTCTTTTGAGAGCGGACCCTAACTGTTCTTTGTTTTGCGTTTTCTGTCGATTGACGCAGAAAGTCACCTGCCCCGGTCAAATGAGAGCCCTGAGCTGTGACAATCTCAGACGTGCCTGTCATGGGACCCCTACGGCAGACAGGAGTGATTGTGTGAAACACAAACACAGGGAAGCATGGTTCTTCGTAACCTCGGCCTGCTCTGGGCCTGCAGACTTAGTTTCCATGGTTATAGGTTCCTGTCCACATCGGGCCGCCGTGTACAGGAAGTACATGTTTCAAAAGAGCCATGGATTGTGTTCTGTTTTTCTGTGCTTTATTAAAGGAGATCAAGTCGGTGTCTGTCGTCTTTATTTGTCTGCCGTTCTAACAGATTATGAAACAACATTTCATCATTTTGTGAAACATTTCATTTACATGTTGAAAGCGGCTTCAACCTGAAACAGGCACTGCGGTCTTAGACCAACTGAGTCACTGCACACTGTCGCTCCTGTTAGACTAAAGTGTTTGCTTGTATAAATCTAGGCAAGAATCATCTTGGTAAAACTGCACTTCAGCAGCATCACTAAAAGCAGGGTCCCCCGCATTGGGTATTTCAGCAAAATCCACCCTTGCTATAGCTAAAATGAACACATTTCCTGAAATAAAGGCTGTTAATTGGTCTCACCATATGCAGTGTTACATCTTGCCGTGACAATGCAAGGTGTTAAAACCATGTTAAGTTCATAGTAGTTTTGCTCTGTGCTAAGAAATGAGGCCTGAATGTTTGTGCATTTTGGTCGCTCCTTCCTTGCTTCTTGTTCTGCCCCACACAGTCCCCCCTTAGCGTCCCGGCTTCGCCGGAGCGAAGCCCACTCGGTCGGCGTCCCTGTCGAACACGCTGTAGTACCGACCGATGAAGACGTCTCCCAAGATCCAGAGGGGCCCGGCTGGGGGGGGCACATCCAGCGCCATGAATCCGGACAGACAGATTTTCTGGCCCATTTGGGACTCCTGCATGGGGGGGGGGGGGGGTGTGTGGTGACATAAGTACATCAGATTTACTCCCATGCAGCGGGGGTCAGTATATCGCACACCACGTACGGACCCGACCCAAGCCAGCGACGGGGGGAAAACTGGTACCTTCATGATGTAATCCTCTCCCGTCAGATTGAACTGCTTCCCCCCCAGAGCAAAGGAAATAACTGGAAGCGATGGGATCATCTTGCAATTAATGAAATACTGAAAAAGAGAGAGAGATTCATGCACTGTAAAGCTATAACTGTGCAACGGCTGATCACTGCTAAAGAGCAGCACTGTGATGGCTGATCACTGCTAAAGAGCAGCACTGCAGGCTGTGCAGCATCTGATCATTACCTCGCCCATCAGCAGAGGAAAGGCCCCGATGGCCTTCTGCAGGGCCTGCACTTCCTGGGCGGGGCCGGTGATGAGGGACGTGCCCGTGTCGACGATCGCCTGACAGCCACCCTTGCACAATGTCAGCTGGTTGCCCACAAGGACGCTGCGGGGGAAATGAATTGGAGAAGCCGTCTGAGGAAGCGGTGAGAGGTGTGAAATTGTGAGGGACGAGGTGGCACTGGCCCTTTCAGTGCCGTTGGCCTGTTTCTGAAGAACTCGAACCCACCCCCCCTAGCCCTGTCTAAGCGGGAAGCCAAGCTTGAATCTCACCTGTCCATTTTGATCTGCCAGTAGGCTTTGCGGGTCACGTTCAGGTAGTGCAGCTCCCCCTGGTGGTACTGCTTGTCAATGCCGCCAAGCATTAACTCGCCGCCCACAGGTGCAGCAGGGTCTCTGGGAAAGACATCAGCGTGTTGGGGAGGCGAACATTTATATAAACAATGCACCATATAAAAGTCTGCTTCCTTCACGGTACTGCGAACAGTAATGAGGTAATTAATGGTATAATGAGACAATAAGAATACGTCTGTTAAAATGTGCCAAGCAAAGCCGACAGCACAATGGCATCAGGTTAAGGATCATTCCCATCTCCCCAAACCTGCAGGGGAGGGTCTGCACCTACACACCTGTTGAGGTAGAAGGAGAAGACGTTTTGGGGCAGTAGTTTGGCCGCTATGGCCAAATCAAAGACCGGAGTGACCTGAGCGACGGAGATGGAAGGGTAGCCCATGCCTAGCACGCCATCGAAGTGTGCCAGGGCAAACACAATGCCTGGCTGGTTAACCGCCTCCCCAAACTGCTGTCTGGGAATGACCAAACCAGCCACCTGAGGAAAGGCAAAGTCACAGACAGACAGGTCAGTCCAACCAACCAGCAAACCGACCACCTGAGGAAAGGCACGATCACAGACAGACAGGTCAGTCCAACCAACCAGCAAACCGACCACCTGAGGAAAGGCACGATCACAGACAGACAGGTCAGTCCATCAAACCACCAAACCCACAGAGAACAAGCTTTTTATAAGAACCCAGATGACTCACGCACCGAGACCAGATCCTGGCTGAGAAACCCGGACAGGCTGCCGCTGCCATACTGGATAGCGAATTTGGTTCCGTTCTTCACGTAGGTGCTAGACTTCTTGGAATCGTATCGTTGATGGAGCCCTATGAGAGCAGGAGACCCGATTCTGTGCATGTCGAGAGGCTACACGCCACCAGTGACGATAATCAACACCATGTAGACATTATTCAAAGGAGGTGCCTTTTTGTGGCTTGTCGTCCTAATGATATGATTGCTCTGAGGGCAATTGGACCCTGCAAAGGGTGTTATCAAATATTGAATTTCTCCTTAAAAAATGAAGTGTTTTCTTAGGGCAATAGTTATCAGGGAAGATATGGATTCATAGCTACAATTCCTGCTCATTTGCGCAAGATGCTTCACCTAAAGTAATTCAGCGCACTAATCAGATGTAAAATCAAATGTCAAACAGAGTGAAGCTGACAGTATAGGAGCAAAAGTAAAGACTCTATAGGAGGCGCTGACTTACAGCAGGCGAAGTCCCAGAAGGAGCAACTGGCGGAGGGAACCCACAGATTGGAGGATCCGGTGTCAAACAGCACAGAGAAGTTCTGCTGCGGAGAGCCGATACTGATCACCCCAAAATATTGAGCCTGATGAGAGAGGAGGGCCGGAGGTAAACTCATTCTGGAGAGTAAGAGCTCCTTGGGTTAGCGCAGCAGGACTCCAACGCTTTCCCGACTTGCCAGTATATTCATTTAGTAAATGCATAACAGACTATGAGGATCCGACACGGCCCGGACTCACGTCCATGAAGTTGGTGAGTCGCTCTACAGGCACTTGCTGGTCGGCCGCGACGCGGTGCCCTGCGCGCTCCTCCGCCCGGGAGCGCAGCTGCTCCAGCGTCATGCCGCTGTCGCAGAGCCGGCGGCGCAGCGAGCGCATCCTGTGCAGAGGAACCCTGCCGGACGACTGGCCGTTAACACACGATCATCACGGAGACCGCTCCTTTATACTCATATAGGCTACATATGTGTGTGAATGTCTCAGTTACCGCTTTTATTCCGTTTCTCAACACAAACACGTCCAATCCGCGGAGTGATCGCGTCTTTAAGAGGCAAATTCTTATACTGTTAATTATTGTCACACAAGGCTACGGATGCGGATGTCTATTCGGACTTGGCATCATGCATAATGCAAACCATGCGCTTCTTACTTAGAAGAGTTAACACCGATATGAATCCACCAAATATTATTAAATGTACAAAATAATTATTTTACTTATTATAAACCACACTGTACAACATGCAACCTACATAAATTAAATTATAGAGATTGTAAATACTTTTATATTTAATAAAAATAAAAGTTTATCAATGTATTCGTCTGGTACGGTACCTGATGAGAGCATCGCTCTGATGGACAAACATTAATGTGAGGAATGCAAGAAAGTGAAACCGGTTCCTTGTCATCTTCGGGACGTCGCGGTGCCTTGGCTGCTAGGCACGCACCTTTCACTCCTCAGCCCTGTTAACAAGCCCCTTAATGTCGTCCCCCCCAGAAGCTCCGCCTTTCTGCTTTTTGATTGGTTGTAATTCTTACAATTGAGTTCTTATTGGTCAGTATAGAGTGTCATTCTCTTGTAGTTATGCGAACAACTGAATATGAATTCCTATGTGTTTATAAAGTCTGTACTACAAGCCAAAGTGGTCTGTACTTGCCCTGTTCATAGCGTCTGGCAAGAAATCAGAATATATCTGTCCATTTCGTGAAAACCTTGGTCAGTACCTTGTTGTTAATTAGGACAGTCTGATAATAATTCTTACAAATACCAGCTTTATGTGTGAGAGCCGGAAGCCTCGTGCTTGAAGTCTCACTAGTACATAGTGCGAGTACCTCTTTGTTTTTGTCTGCAGAGTACCAGGGACATTTCATGCATACTGGGACCTCTGATCATCTACCAGTAATGAGTATCAAGCTGAGTACCAGCCCACATCACGCACTGGGGGAACCTGTTTGTTATCTAGATCCGAACAAGAGGTGGAGTTTGCTGACAGTTAAAGACCCAACTGCAGTGCATTTCAGAGGCGCCAAACAGCATAAGGGCATGCCGCTGGCACTCTGGGCTCCGAAACAAGGGGAAGGTGACAGACACATATGGGAAGAGCACTGCTTAGAGGCTGAAGACTGAAGAATCAGACAGAGACATGACCAGCGTAAGCTCTGACTTTCTTACTTCAAACTCTGACAATAGGAAATGCTGTCGGTGAGTGAGGATACCATGTATTTCATAAGGAATTGTGCTAAACGGTGATATTATATATAAAAATTCAGACACAAAAACTACATGATGGCATCAGTTTTCAGGTGACAGAAAAGACGAAGATAGAAAAAGGATTAAAAACTGGGAAAGAATGACCTGATGTGTGGACATTTCTTACAAAAATAAGCTCAAATAATATCAAGGTGAAAAGAGCTTGAAACACAAAGAACAGGTTAAACCAGTGCTCTGTTTGTAAAGGAACTTCATTCTCGAGATAACTCTATAGAAAACTGCCGGTCCTTGTAACAGCCAAAGCTGGATGCTACCACAGATTCCAAAGCACTTGATGGATTACAGATTTATTGGTGTGGAATTAAAAAAATAAATACTGTATTAAACACGCCAACTCACAAAGAGCCAAAATCCTATTTCATTTTCCACAGAATGTTTGGAGGGAGCCAGATAATCTAGAGAACTTCAAATGATAAATAACAGCACTTATCCATATAGTTATTTTTAATTAAATATCTGGTTTTGATCAGCTCCTGTTGGAACTTCCTTCCACAGCCCCCACCTCTCTTTCCCAGGACCATTTTCCTGAAGGGGCCCAATCAGCCCCCCCACACCAAGCAGGACTCTGCAGTAGGTTCAGACACCCAAGGGCCTACAGATGTAGAGGTAAGAGTAAACGCAGTGTTACATTTGAAACATTTATCATTCATGAACAGAACCTTGAACTGCATAATATTTCTTTGATACCATTTCTGGTGATTTGAGTTAGTAAATCCAGAATTCTGAGAACTTGAAATTCAATATTCAAACGTCAATTTTCAAGAACTCCCAGACCAGCCAAATTCACAGAAGCCAGTTGCGGGACTCCAAGAAGCCTCTCCCACCATTACCTGGAGTGGCGTCACGTTCGGGGACCAGCTTTGACGATTCCAAGTTGACTGTGAGCCCTGACAGAGCAACGGAGGCTGACAAGGACACAGAGGTGAGCATTAGCATTAGCATCAGCTGGCAGTAATAAACTCAGTGGCACCAGTCCCTACTACATGCAAACTTCCCAATTTTTTAGGTCACCGACACCAAGGGAAGCCAGGAATTGCACTGGAAGACCCTCCCAGCACCACCCACATGTACATCCCAGTCGGAGCACATCTATGAAGAGCCCCACTTCATCACCAACAGCCAGCAGATGCAGGAGGTACTGTATGAGAGTCTGTGAGCTGCCCTGCAGTGTGGGGTGTGTATGCTGCTGAGTTCCTGCAGAGGGCGCTCTAATCGGGTGACTGACCAATGGTAATGCTGTGCCGTAAATGATTGCTGTGAATGTACTGTGAAATATAGATGGGGTCCTTCGTGAGTCAATTAAACAATAACAATGACTGAGTTGCTTAAAACTCATCACAACCATTTATTACAGGAATCTGAGCCCGGGAGACTCTGGAAAAACATCATTTAAGATTTGTGTGGAATCAGTAATAATTAACAGAATTTTCATGTGTTTGCTTTGCATATTCAAGGAATATATCTCTATATCTGGTTATGATGACAGGACTCCATGGTCATGGTGTCTCCCCGCCTGCCGCCTCCTGTACCCCCCAAGCCCTTACAGCCCCTCCAGCCGCCCATCAGTGGGCCATGTGCTGCCTTCGACCCCCAGTGTTCCCATGACGATGAGGCAGGAGCAGAGACGAGTTTGAAGGTAACATTTTGTCACCGGTGCAGGATCAGATGTGGGCCAGCCCTGAGGGATGGTGGCCATTCTCAGACTCATAGTTTTCTCTTCTTTTGAACTCAACAGTTCCCCAAAAGTGGTAGTTTGCCACGTCCCGCACGACAGCCGCCACCGCTGCCCCAGAAACCTGTCTACCCGCTGGAATGTGGGCAGACTCCCGTGTACTTGGACATACTGTCAAATAACGTGAGAATCACACGGCGAAGGCGAACAATTGATCTCTTTCCATGAAAAGTCCCAGTTTGTTTCTGAAGCCCCTGTGATTTTAGACCCTGCAGGATGAAGGTTCTTCCTCGGGGTCTTTCCACAAGCCGCTCCCCCCATTGCCCAAAACGAGGCCCCCCTCCCTGAACCGGAACACCCCAGGCAGCCAAGACGCACGTGACAGACAGAGGTCGCAGGTAACTAATCTGCATCTTACAAGTGCATTTCTGAACTTTAGGTCAAATTTCAACATACAGTACATGGTCAAAAGTATGTGGACAGCCCTGTGCAGAGCAGTGCTTTGGCTCACAGACTCTTTGTTGAGTTTGAGTTGCAAACTGTGGTAGCACAATTTTAAACAGTTGAAGGGTTTGACTGCAAAAACGATATTCGCCATTTCAGACTTTCATTTCCAGCCTTGGCGTCCAGTTTCCCCTATACAAGTTTACATTTGAAGAAATCATTTTTTGTTAAAACACAATTTATTGCTTTAAGCATTTGTCACATTTTCTGGCCAAACCATTCAATTTCAAAGCATATTTACTTTACCTGACGAGCCGGAGCTGTGCTTTTGTTTAGTACATCACTGCTGTCTGTTTAATAAGGATGTGCAAAAAGTTGGTGAAATATTGAGTAGTTAAGGTACTGTGTTGAAAGACTATAATTCAATAAGAAATATTGTTTTTCATGGAGATGGGGGAGGACACTGAAAGTTCAGTTGTAGGACAAGATTTGGAGTACAAAAAATTGCACTTCAAACAGATGAGTCAATAGCTGTTGATGGAATGCCTCAGTTAACGATCTTTATTAAATACGATTGTGGCAATGATATCAAAGAGGACCAGCTATCAACAAACACAACGGGCAGGGAAAAAGAGTGTTGGACAAAAACTTGATTTGAGAATGAATACATTGTGTTGTCATTTACACCGATGGAGCCCGGAAGTATAGCTGGTTTGAGGCCTGGTTTGGTGGCTCATGTTCGCAAAATAGCCCCAGATGTGAAACTGAGACACTGTATCTTATGTAGTAAGGAGCGTGCCTGGGTCTGTGGCGATCTCAGCTGGTGGCAGGATCTCTAGCCGTGTTTTCTGTCCTCTCTAACCATCAGGGGAAAGTGGGCTTTGCCCTTCAGAAGCAACTGACTGAGGCTAACATATCTGAGCATTTGACTGCCCTGCAGGAGAGCTTTCAGTGATACTTTCCCAGCTTAGGGGCATCTCAGAACCTGCAGTGGGTGAGATATCCCTCTCAAGCCGTGCCATGAGCTGGGCTGGGTCTAAGTAACACAGTGTTGGAAGCACTGGTCGCACTGCACGCCCGCAGTGGCGGTAAGGCACTTTTTGAGACGGCTACTCTTTCCCATTTATGGGTTGCTCATCCGAAGCAGAAGGAATTATCCTGTTTGGCTTGGAAAGTTGTAGGTGTGTTAAATCAGTTTGGCACTATATTCCTGTGTGAGTCTGGAGTTTCTACTCTGGCAAACATTACAAGTAAATGCAGTAACAGATTAAATGTTGAGCACGACCTCTCAAACACTGACCCCAGAACAGACCTGCTGGGTAAGAGATGCAACAAATCGCACATGGCTCATGAGGACTGACTGAGCCTAGATCTGATTCTGAGAGCAAAAAAGGTGTATGCTTTATATTCTCCTGAGACCCAAGGAAAATAGTGTCCTTCAATTTTAGGTTATTTTTCTTTGGAGGAAATAAGACATCTTACAATTTTGATTTTTTCAAATTCATTTTTATGTTTCATTTCACAGCATGTCCTCTTTAGTGTACAACAGGAATAAATACGTTTCCTTACATCAGTGAAAAGATAGATGCAGAAACAAAATGTCCATTACGATGGACATAAATGAATGGGTGGGGTCTCAGGAGGTTAAATTATATGCTCAGAAATATTGAAAGTTTACTAAAATGTCTATTTCACTAGGGTCACGGTGACTTGTATTTTGTGATTTAGAGTCTAAAGACAAAAAATATATAGTGTAAATAATGGAAATAAGAGAAAATTAATCAACTAAACAAAGTATATATTTCAAATTTAGGTGCTTTGCATTCTTTGACAAATTGATAGCTGATTAATATTTCTGTTTATTAAAATGTTACAGGGGTATAAATGTTTGTGATCCCGTGTCCCAGAAAGACAAGAAATGTCTGTTTTGGATGGCAACATGAAAAAGTTTGAGAAACCCCTGAATTAGAGGAATTAGCAATCTAGGCCACGCCCATTGGTGGCATGGGTGTAAAATTAAGCACACAGTCATGAAGTCTCCAGAAGCAATCAATAGCAGCAGAACAGGTTGTTGCAATGAAGTAGCTAGTGACTCTCCAATTAGCACCATCAGAAGATGTCATTCTTCTAACCAGTCAGCTCACTAAAATTATTCCATGCTAGAGTTGCCCTGGTCAGCTGCAAGCAAGGTGAGTGTAAAGTGTGATGACTGGCAGCAAGTAGATCACACAAGCTGACAGAAAGGGGCCTGATAACCCAGCAACAATCCCCAACCTGAATGGCAGCAGATCCCACCAGCCACTGGCTAATGGGAAGCCTCCCCAGAAGGGTAGAGGCTATTACAGCAACAACGTGCAACCAGGTTTATATTAATACCCTTGGTTTGGGAATGAGATGTGGGACAGGCTGGTGTCCACATCCTTTTGGTCGAAAAGTGTACATTCTATTTCAGAGAAGCTACAAACGGCATTGAAGCATGATGCAGTCGTCTGCCCGTCCATGTTCAGGGTCTGGTTATGTGATCAGAGCTGTGTTTCTGCTTCTTCTGCTTCAGGAAACAGACGAGCTGGCGGAATGGTGGAGCTCAGTGCAGCGTGAGTCATTCTTGCAGTTGATCTGGTCAGGATGTTTGCTTTGAGGTGCTGTTAATGTGGCGTGGCAGGTCTTCGAGTGCCGAACCGCCAAACGCGTTTCCTTTTCATAAGTGTTTCACTGTGGTTTTCCCTTAGCCTGGGGAGCCGTATCGCTAGAGCACGGGGCCGGCGAGGAAGATGAGACAGAGTAAGAGCATCTCTGAGATGGATGAATGTTCTTCACAGTAATTAATATCGATGGAATCTCTTTGCTCGGTCTGAACACGTACAGGTGTCAGGTGTATGGGGAAGGCAAAGTTTGTGAGTACAATTCTTCTTCTTCCAGAATATTCCATATGAAAGTGAACAGAATCCAGAGGGGAATCGAATTCTTCCTCCACCTTCTGCGGAAGCACAGTGGCGCGTTTGGGGATCACATAACCCAGCTGAATGCTGTTGCTGACAAGTTTGACAAATCAAGCAAGAGCCTGAAGGTCAGGGCCATTACCGGGGGCACTACGGGAGCCCTTGGGGGCGTGGCCACCGTGACGGGCATCGTCTTGGCCCCCCTGACCATGGGCACCTCACTAGTGGTGACAGCAATGGGGGTGGGAGCGATAGCGGCCGGAGGGGTGACAGGGGCCAGTGCCGCCATATTGAACAAGAGATGGAACAGTACCGGCCGTAAGACAGTGGAGAAGATAGTGGATGAGTACAGAGCTGAGGTGAAGGACATCGACCAGAGTCTGGAATTTGTTGCCATGGGGGTGAGCGAGCTTGAGAAGCACGACGTCTCCCGTCTGATGTGCGATGGGGATTCCCTGGTGGTGCCCAGGGAGGTGCAGCTGGCTGTGCACAACCTCAGCTTCATTCAGGCAGCAACCAGATCCAGCGGCATCCTGCAGGGTTTCGCCCAGCATATGGACGGCTGCTTCCCCGAGGAGGAAAGCCAGAAGTCAAAGAAAGACTCCTCCAACAAATATTCCACAAGTGTCCGGGAACTTGCTCAGCAGCTGCAGAACGGCCTGGATGATCTCAACAGCCTCAAGGAGATATTCTCCACAGCGGAGCTGTAGTCCTTACCTCTGTATGAAATGTTCCGTTATTGCACTCACTGGTTCATACTGGCTCATGATTTACATGTCTTAACTACAGAAACCATACGGTTCTGGAGCAAAAATATTTGGAATACAAAATTCATTGCTAGTCATAGCCTTTCCTAAATGTGCATTGTGAAAAGACAAGGAATGCAATTGTCTTAAATCCTGTCCTTAAAACATGTAGCCTATCGCTGTTACTAATTTTATCTTTGCTACTATGAAATGTTTGTCATATTTGAATACAATATTTTCTTTAACCAAATGAAATATCAGTATTAGCATTATTTTATCATGATTGCTCACTCTTTCGTTGCTGATTTTCATAGACTGTTCTGTTCCTGTACATGATCACGTGACCCTCATCTACTATTGACTCGCTGAGGATCAGTAAGTTTTTCTGTAGGAATCTAGCACTGCTTCCATATGCACACCAGGGGGCACCATAATTACTGTTTCGCTTTACGACACAATTTCTCAAATAACCAGAGAAGTAATACAAAATAACCTACTCATAATTCATCCATTTTCTAACTATCTATTCTGGAGGGCGAAGCCTAATTTCAATAAATCAGCATTCATTTTCAGAAAATTTATTTACTTGTAGATTATTAGTGGCATTCTTCAAAATAATGGCTCGATTATTTATCCAGCATACTTTAACACATGACTTTATGTAGCAAACAGAATACATTGGCAATACGTTGAACTGTTAATGGAAGTAATTTATGTTTCTAATGTACTATTCGGTTCAGACTCGGAGATACAATGACAAAAACGCACAGGCAGTGAACCCGCCACATATCTGGTTGAATCCATTTTCTTAGTTATTTATGGTACACCCTAAATTTAAATTATTTTTGCGCAAATATATGTATTACAATAACGTTAATGTGCGCACATGATTGGTAGATAATACAACAATGTAACAGCCAACTAGTAACATACATAGTGACGATGGTTCTATGCTGGCCGTCTAGCCTATGAAAAACAGCGTTACTCGCGCATTGATATGAACATACCTACGCCGCGGAGGAATCCACGCGGATGTACTGCGAGTTTATAAATACCGACGGCGGCCGGGGCTTTTATAGAAGCATGCTCTAGTTCTAATGTCGTTTTTGTTCCTCTTCGCTGAGCGCCATCGCTCCCTGTGCGACATGGCAGTGTGACGGCTTGCAGCGGCCTTCTTAGCAGCGGCAAACGCAGCAGTGCAGCAGTCCAGTGCACTGGCTTCCTGTACATTTGGCAAAATGGCGTAAGTAATCTGTGTTCGACCTCCAAATGTTCAGCTGAAATATAAAGACGCGTTTTTTTACAAGTATTTTATGGACGTCTTGTTTTGCTGAGAGGCGGCTTTTGTTTGAATAGTATAATATTTAGAGATGAAAGCAGTCCATTTTATATACGATGACACGTATAATATATGAATAGCGACGTGGATAGTTGACAGACGTCACCTGTAGTGTAGTTGTAGTTGATTTGAATAATTTGACTAAATGATGCTTGTATTGATTTGTTTGATGTCTATACTTTATTTGGAGTACATCTGCCTTGATCTACGTACGTTACATGGCCATCAAGTGTAATATTTTTGACAACGTGGCAATCCTAAAATGGCGTTTATTCTCCACTGACGAACACGAGTTGTTGGTCAAAATGGCGCCTTATACGTCCTCTAACCCTCGGCGCCCTAGACAGCCGGGGACGCGCCATGTGCGTCATGGACACTTCGTGCGACAATCTGTAGACAGAGGGAGGGGGCGCGCGCAACAATGCTGGTGACTCCTGCGGATCTCAGTGATTAGTGTTGCTATGGAGGAGGCACGCAAGGCTTTGGTCTCGAGACAGGCAGGGGCGGAGCTCCCGGTCGGACCATACCCATATATGGAAATGCCTGTCGTCCAAGCTAGAGTATTTTTAAACTTAATGCTTATACCAAGGCAACGGTTAGATCATTAAATATATTTAATCTGACATTGTGCTTTAAAAAAATTATTATATCATCTCATTTTTAGAACAATTTCAGGGACAAGACATGGTTATGTTCGTATGCATTTACTAAATATTTTACATGAGCGTTTTATTGCATTGCCGTTGTGTGGAGTCATTTAAAATGCCTTCTCTCTGCAGGTCCCTTGACGTAACCCTCAGCACTGCTGTAGTCGACAGCATAAAAGAAAAGCTCGACTTCATATCAGACTTCCTGTCTGTCAAAAACCCACTTATCTTGCTTGGCCAATCAAACACCCTCTTGACTGGCAGCCATGTCCCTGAGCTCCAGACTTTGCCCGGCAGATGCCGGGACCCTCTGGGGGGGCTTGTATCAGACGGTTGACCCCCTCGGATCCCTCCTGGACGAAGATGAAGATTCCCTAGCAGAGGGAGTGTCCTCCCCTTTCTCCTCATCCCCCAGTTATACCCACACCATCCCTGCTTCTCCTTCCCCGATCGTCTCCCCTCCTTCCCCTCATCTCTCGCTTCTGGGTGACAAGGTGGAGTCAGACTTGCTCTCCCTGCCCTGGCTGTCAGATGAGCTGCTGGATGCCACCATCAGTCCAGATGCACGCAGAGGTGAGAACCCCATGTATTGTGGTGCAGTGTCGCCTGGCTTGGGTCATATGACTTTGCTAGCCTTTATCTGCCAGGAATCTCACTGTCTGTCAGTACTGTTGGCCCTCGGCCCAGCAGATTGCCCCGGTCTATTCCAGGGTGCATTAAACGAGCTCTGCCATCCATAGATGGGTAATAAAATTATGACTGTCTGAAGCTGTTGTGCTGACAGCCTTCTGTTTTATTTTAATCATAGAGGATGCGTTCTCTGGCATGGACTGGATGGCAGAGAAGATCGACCTGAGTGAATTTGACCTGGACTCCCTCGTGGGATCCTGCGATGCCGATGAAGTGCCAACCTCCCCAGAGAGTCTCACCTCCTCCTTGGAGCCTCACATGGATCTGGATCCTCAGCCTGAGCCCAGTCCCTTCAGCACCTCCATCGCCGAAGAGGTGGATGTCAGCCTGTCAGAAGATCTCTCCTTCCCCTCAGCAGTGCCTGAGAAGATGGAGGTGAACATCGAGCCTCCATCCCCAGTTCCGTCTCCTTCCCTCCCCCCTTCTTCACCCAGCTTTACCCTGGATCTAGGCAGCGAGGTCGATGTCTCTGAAAGTGAGAAGATGGTGCCGGTTGACAGCACGCCAGTGCCAAAGCTCATCCTCTCCTTCTCCCCGTCTCTTGTCCTCCTCTTGTCCCCTGGGGAGAAGCTACCTGCCATCCACAGCATGGCAACTGTCACCCCTGATGACCACTCCGACAGCGGCATCAGCTCTGTCGCAGAGTCTCTCCAGCACGAGCCCTGTCTCAGTCCGCTGGGTCACGCTGTCGGTTCTTCCAGGACCAAGCCCTACTCCCCTTCATCGAAACCTGCTGCAGTGTCCACCGGGAAGGTGAAGTCTGCCTCTACGAGGACGGGCCCTAAGGTGGTGGAGAAGAAGCTGAAGAAGATGGAGCAGAACAAGACTGCTGCTACCCGGTACCGCCAGAAGAAGCGAACGGAACAGGAGGCTCTGGTAGCAGAATGCACTGAGCTGGAGACGAGGAACAGGGAGCTGGAAGAGAAAGCAGAATCCATCAGCAAGGAGATCCACTACCTCAAGGACCTCATGGAGGAGGTACGAAATGCCAAGAACAGGAGGAGCAAAGGTGGCAACAGAGCGGCATCCTAAGAAGAGCTAGAGGAGAACATCTGCGAGAGCCCACCTGCATGTCCCTGGAGCTGGAAGTGAATTGCTGCAGCACTGAATCCACATGCCTGTGCTGGACTTACACCAGTTACATGCAACGTCAGTAGATTAGTGTTAGTTAAAGCAAGTTTGTATATTCACTGTCCATTACTTCGCACACTGTCCAAGTCCTATGATGGTTTAACAAAAGGTCATCTGCTCATACTATCTGCTTTGAATCTAGGCTGTTTGTACTTGGTAGTTTGTGCTTTCAGATTAGTATTTTTTTTTATGGTTCTAGGCCCGTTTACAGTGTCTGTCTAATAAGTAGTTGTAGTTGTGGATTTATTTAATGCGAGCCCTTTTGCTCTGTATATAGTGTTTGGTTTTGCTCTGGCTCTAGAATATGGTGTCTTTCCTAATAAAAAAAAAAAATGAAGTGAACCTATGGAGTCTCACTCTTCTGTGTGATTAGCAGGATGTTAACTTGTAAATGAGTAATGAAATTAGTTTGAGTAGAATACGTGTGTCTTCCACAGGAAATTACATCCACATGGACTGTTTCTTATTTTAGTGCCATAAGTAAAAACGTCCATCCGAACAGAAAAAGACACCTGTCTGCACAACCACACCTAACAGTTCCTAACAGTGCGTTTAAACTGGACTAATATACAAGTTGCGACTAGTTTCATTAATCTGTGGATTTTAGCAACGGTAAAGCCTTATCTTCTCAATTATTTCGGGTGACTCATCCATGCATTTATTGCATCCCGGTTAGTCTACTGTAATGCCTTATATTATGGGCTAGATCAGCTGTCCCTTCGACGCCTGCAGATGGTCCAAAACGCAGCAGCACGAGAGAAAACGTGACCATATTACTCCTGTGCTGGCCTCTCTGCACTGTCTCCATGTCACTTTCAGGATCAAGTTTAAGATTTTATTACTTGTTTTTAAAACACTTCAGGGGAATGCACCTGCTTCACTGAGTTGTTGCACCAACGTGATCCAGTCAGAACACTCAGGTCGACATCTCACCTGCTTCTGGATGTCCCAACATCCAGATCAAAAACCAGAGGTGACCGCTTTTTCAGCCGCTGGTCCTAAATTATGGAACACTCTGCCTTTGCATATCAGAGCTGCTCAGATCCTCCAAAGTTTGAAGTCTTTGTTTAAGACTCATTTATTTTAATTGGCTTTTAATCCCAGTCGTGATTGATATTCATTAATATTTTTATAGATTAGTTATACTAATTTATCTTTAATATGTTGTGGTGTATTTATTATATGTAAAGCACTTTGGGCAGCAAGTGGTTGTCTGTAAATGTGCTATATGAATACACTTGAATTACTTTCTGAATGCACTGTAAGTAATAAGTTGCTATTGGGTCAGATTCCCAACATCCCAGTCGGAAGTGATTAGCAGGCTGATTTACATTAGTAGAATGTGTGTATTCCTAGACAAAAAAAACATCTCATAAACTGATCTTCAATATATCAGAAATAAATGTACGAAAGGATGTTAAATTAACTGGTCAGTTTACGTGCAACTGCGCAATGTAAGCCAGTCCCTTTGCCTTTATTATTTACCTATTACATAGCAACATTGCAAAAGCAATATTTGTCAAATTTTAAAATGACTAATAACCTTTCTTTTCAGTGGGGTTACCATACCCAAATCCCCACAGCAACGAACATATTGTAATCCGTATCATATTACACCTGACATCTAATACAGAAACAAGAAGAGTCTAAAATAAAGCGCACATTGAAGCGTTGCCAGGACGGCTGCCTTACGGTAACCATACTGCCGTATTTCGTCACAAAGTGTCGCACGGCTATGGCACGTTGTTCCTGGTGTTCAAGCTCGACCGAACGC